GAAGTGTTCGATCCTAAGAATATTGCACATCTGGAGACAGTCAAGCGACAGGCTATTCAAAGGCTCGATCCTTTCTAGTGCCAATGCTGGCACACCAAGGCTTTAAGCCTTCTCCAGGTAATACGTGAGGTAATCCAATCACAATCGACGTGGTGCTTTGTTTGAGTCACATGTATGTACATAGTTCTTGGCCTCCGAAGTTCATTCTGCCCGGTTCTGGAGGGAGCTCGCAGTGCTCGCTAGAAAAAATCGTATTGTTATTATTACTATTGTTGTGACTTGTTTTCTTATTATTACTACTATGATTACTGCTGCCAAAAGTGCTTGGATGGCTTTTCAGGTCCAGCTTCCGTACGTCATCAACCATTCAACGGGAGAGGTGTGGTATCGGATGTTGCTTGTACTTTCTGGAGTGGCAGGGACTTGATTTGCTGCTTTGATGGACGCAGAATTTGTTGTCAACTCATGGGCGGTGGGCCTGAATAACTCGCGCCTTGCAAAACCTGCAGAGGGAGCGGAGTCCAGAAGGGGTGGAAGTGACGGCTTGTTCGTTCGACTTTCTTTGTTCAGGTCATCGCGCAGTCCAGCGCCGTTTACCTTTACCTGGGCCGGGTCCTGGGGCTCGGTGGGGACACTCACCAGGACTCAGGGCAGAGCAGGAGTGCACAAGTAGCATGGTATGGCTTTGTCTCATTGCAGGAACAGCTGGCAAACGAACAGGCCTGTCTGGTTATGACAAGTGATTCTGGGCCTTAAGCTGGGGAGGCTGGGGGCTGAAATCATGCAGGCGCTCAGCACACATTGGCTTTGCTTGAGTCTAGTCCTGCTCAACGGTACCATATTGGTCACTCTTGAAAGCGCGAATTCTGGATTGCATTATGATGTGAAACATCTTGCGTGACCGCATATCGAATTGACATCTGTTTTGGGGTTTATTGAATCCACATCATGCTCGAGCGCAGGTCCTGTTCTACTTGTATGGCATGTGGATGGAAGTTCGAGATCTGGTGGGCACTGCACATGTTGAGAGAATGAGCGCGTCATCAATGACGGCGCAATGATTTTCAAGCTGTGTGCCAGGTCTACCCCTCCTACACGAGCAGGACGATTCAAACATCTAAAATCGTGCCGAGATAGACAACCAGATACCTAGTACTACTATTATTATTACTGTGATTGTTAGTACCATGTAAGACAGTGCAGCTGCCGTCAGAGTGGCAGCAGAGGTTTATTCGGCAGGCCCGACGGGTTGCTGACGCAGGAATGGTGGGGGCGGGAGCATCATGCAGAACTACTGTAATGGACATAGTGCCATCATGCTCTAAGAAAAGAAGCCCTGCATAGTCTTGCCATATAAGCTGCTTAACCACACAACCCTTACTAGGTGTGCTGCTGAAACACAGTAGCTTCATGAAGCCCTATTGCACTGAAAAGTAGAATGAAAAGTCCCGAGCCGTGTGTGGGGTTACAGGTGCCGGTCACTCACTCACTCACGAAAATATTGCATGCACTACGGGAAAAGGAACCAGACCCACTAACCCTCCAAAGCACACTAAAGTAATTTCCCACTATGCGGGCTGTTGTGGGTGCTGAGTCGAGGTCTTGCTGCTTGTATAGCAGCCTGAGCAAGACCGCTTCAAATCAATATCAATCAACAATAAGAATAGACGCCCTGCATAGTCTTGCTATATAAGCTGCTTACACACCGCCTTACAGAGCCTTAAATGGCAATACCTCAACGACTTTGAAAAATCTCCTCAAGCATTTTGGGGAGGGAGGGGCGGGGGGGGCTCAGAGGGGCGGACCGGAGGGTTGGGGGGAATTCGGGCTGAGAGCCCCGAACCCCCCGACAGGTCAACGCTTTCCGTGCGCACCGGTCCGCTGGGAAGGGGGGGTGGGTAGAGTCTTGCTCCCCCGAATGCCAGAGGCCAGGGGCCTCGGCGGATTTGCTTGTGATGACGTGCATTTCGCAAATATGCGGCGAGGACTGAAGAAAGCTTCAGATCATCGCTGGACAACCACTTTTTAGGCAGATGGGCCGGGTCTGTCTAAAGCAGCCATCTTGGTGACTGCTTAGCTGCTTGTCCCTAAACACAAGCTTTCGTGTTTCAGAAGCCATTTGGCTGCTCTCACTTCCTCATGCACGTCCCTCCTTTTCCCAGTAACTGGATTGGAGAGATGGATGCTTCTTAGCAAATGTGGGCTGTGTTGCGGCACTCCTCTAGCGAGAAGAGATGCGCAGGGCTTGCTCATGGCTTCCACAGCCTGGTGCCCTGCAACGCTGTCAGGAGCTGAAGGAGAGCCAGCTGCAGGTAGTAATCGACTTTGATCACACAATCACAGGTTTTCGGAATGCCGATGGCTCCAAAATGGCACAGTGCCATGATGCTATAGAGCACTCTCCGAAAATGCCGGACCTGCTTCAAGAGGACTACCAGAAGCTTTGGCAAGATCAAGAGAGCGGTCTCGAAGCAGGGACATGGACCTGGCAAGAATGGTGGAGTCGCAGTCACGGCCTCTTTGTCAAACACGGCCTCAAACATGCCTGGCTGCCAGAAATTGTTGCCAATAGTGGCATACGCGTTCGGCAGCACTTTGTAGAGTTCATCCAGATGCTGCTGGAGAGGGATGTGCCAGTTCTCATCGTCTCTGCTGGAATTAGTCAGGTGATTGCAGAAGTCTTGCAGCAGACAGGTGTGAATCCTTCCACATTGCAGATTTGTGCGAATGAAATGGTGTTCAATGATTGTGGAGCTCTGACACATTTCACTTCGCCTGAAATCACGCCCGACACAAAGTCAAGCATTGGGCAACTGCAGCATGCTTATTTTGCCAAGATCCAGCGGAAGCACATGATTGTCATAGGTGACAGCATCACGGACTGTGACGTCATCAGGGAGGTCTCTACAGTGGAGTTGGCCTTAAAGGTTGGTCTGTACAACGTGGACCGCGGCAATTGGAGTGCTTTTCAGCTTGCTTTCGACATGCTTCTGAGCAACGAAGCCTTGCGGCCGGAGGAGGACCTGGACTTCAAGCCACTGATCGAGCTGCTGCAGGTGATTTTAGGCTTGCGGCAAACTGCCTCAGACCCGTTCCTGGAACAGGTCGTGGCTGCCAAGACTGGATGCTGACCTGTAGAAAGCAAGTAGACGAGCTCTTGCCCCTGCACATGCAGCCACATGCGCAGCCACCTGTGATTCATTGGGCATGCGTCATTTCTTAGTCTGGCAGGCTCTATTACTGGCCACTATGAAAAGCTTGAGGCCTGGCTGAGGCTCTTCGGGATCATGATTAGTGCAAGAGACGCGAGGGTCAGGAATGTGCCAGTGCAATTCCCGACGTTCCGAAGCATTCAGTTGTCGCATGCTGTCTGTCTTTGCGGTCTGCTTGAATCTTGCGCGCTTGGTTGTGACCATGAGGCAGAGAGAGACTCCGTTCTTTGCCAGTTCACGACCCTGTACAGCTGACTTTCACGCCGCCGCCACAGTCTGGAAGAGAGATCAGATGGGGCCGTATGTTGGAAATTGGGATCTTGTGGAGAATGCATCCAACATTGAAGCTGGATTCCATTCCTTGCAGGTGTGGGAGATGTTGGACCAGCAGGAGTGCATGGCCCGTCCGCACCTGAGGTTGTCTAGCATTCTCTACAGCCAGCCAAGAGAAGGTGACATGCAGCACTTTGAAGGCACCTACAGCTTTCCGTCTCCGTTGGAGGACTTTGCGTGCATGAAGGCGAAGCTGCTCATCTAATCCCCAGTTGCTGAGTTCAGTACAAGACTTCAAGACTGTAGCAGGCCTTCTACAGAAGATTTCGAGAGCTTCCCGAGTTGGAACCATACTTTGCCAGCGGAGCCCTGCCTGCCAACTGACGAACTGCCTGTGGACTGTGGGTGAGTGTCGTGCATCGAGCACTGATTCAACTTATCACCAGCTTCTTGCTTGCGGTTGTTGCACACGGAGGAGATTACTCTTTGCCGATGAACAACAAGATGGCCTTCTACAAGTGACTCATCGTTTGAAGCTGTTCTGTGGATCTCGCAGACATCCTGGCAAACTGTCATGCTGCATGCATTGCGCGCATTCCAAGCCCTAAACCCTAAACCCTAACCTTCCGTTTTGTGCAGGCATTAGACCAAGTCGGTGTGTGCGGGTCTACCGAGCTGTACAAAGCTTGCGTTCATGGCCTGGCATCGGGTCTGCGCATCGGGATGGGACGCCCACACGTGGCGTGCCTTAGTTGGGTTATGATTGGGTTGTAGCTCTAAATGTTGCACCAGGTCTATTCAAAGGTTCAACCTGGCAACGCTTGACATGTACTTGGCATGAGGTGCATGCTGTAGGCTGCTTTCCCTGAAGCATGCGTGTTGGCGCTTGCAGCATCAGCGATTGTTTTGACACAGTGTGGTGCCGCTTTTGGCTGTGCAGCTGATTGAATCCGCCTGGCGCTTCAGTGCGCCCGTGCCGACTTCTCATTCACGACGATCTCTTCTTTCCAAGCCCAGTTTGATGGTTCTGTGAGGTTAGAAGCATGCCTGACGGCGACGCAGAGGAAGCTCCGGAGGTGGCCCCGGAGGTGGCCCCGGAGGCCTGGTGCGGAGCCTCCAAGTTGAGACCTTTTCGTGAGGGCTTTGGTGGCAGATTTTCTCACGGGTCTTGCAGGCCCAGGAGCTCGAAAATGGAAAGAAGAAGAAAAAAGAAAAGAAGGCAAGGGTAGATTGCAGAAGTGTCCAGTAAAAGGACCAATGGCTAACAGCGTGGGTTGTTGGAGGAGAAGAAGGCCGAAGTCGTCAAAGACGAGAAGATGGGCCAAGTCAAGGACGAGGAGCCTGTGGTCAAGCTGCTTTAGCTTGTTTTGCGGGCGGCCGACATTTGGCACCTCACAGCAGGACCTTGACTGGATTTGGATCGGCGGCGCAGAGGTTGGATGGCACTTTGGTCTGATGGGGGCTGTTTCCGCTGCTGCAGTTGATTTACAGGATGCGCGGGACCGTGAGGCTCTTGAACGTGCCAACATAAGGTATGCCCGCTCAGTAACTGCGAAGTTGAAGGCTGATTTGACTCTTCCATGGCATGCTTCCGTGAGCTTTCGTGCCTGTCACTAAAGCCATTGAGACCAAACTATGGCGAGCCGACGCTGTTTTGCGTATGGCCAAGTCTTGAATCATGAATCATGACACAAAGACTTGCAGCGAGTCACGCTAAAATAGACGCAAAGAAGCGCGTCCCCTCGCCTGGGCCGTGGCGGTCATGCCATGGAGGCGCTGCTGCTGCAAGAGGCCGCCAGGGCTGAGGCCGCTGCGCGGCTTGAGCAGGCGAAATCATCCAAAGTCAGCATCTCTTGCGTCCTTGCCGCGGCTTGCAGCATTATCCAGGAGGCGCGGTCTCCCATTGATGCATGGCGCGCTCGAGATGCAGCTCTGGCATCTGAGAAGGCTGCCAAGGACATGAAGCCTATCTCTCGGTGCATAATGTGCGCATATCTCTGCATGTCCCGGATGTAAAAATTCATTCAGTGTCTCCATGTCACGCGACGGATCTTTCAGGAGGCAGCCTTGGCCAAGTTATGCGAGGAGAGGCGGAGGTTGGTGGAACGCATCAATTTCTGCAAGCAGCAGGAGACGGGAATGCATGGTCCGTCATGTTGTGCAGTTGAAGTTTGCGACACGCTGGGGCAGGATTCACGCTGGTGGCCTGAAGCTGCGCGGCTCCAGGCTCCGAAAGTCTCTGTAAGCCATCGAATTCGCCGAGCAAAAGTTGCGACACGACGAGGCTCAACTCGCCGGCGTGCAGCAGGCTGTGCAGTCTATCGAGCAGGAGAAGGCCTCGCCTAGTACTCTAAGCAGACACTTTTACAGTTCAGACTCGTGGTGCTGCACAGGCGCGTGCCCAACAGGCACAGGAGCAGAAAGCAGATCCCTGCAGTCGCTTCACGAACGCTCTCAAGGAGCACTTGCGACAGTGCGAAAACCGAACCCCGGCGGGAAGACCGCAAGATATTTGTGTTCTTTGTTCTTCATGCTGTCTCTCTCATGCTGCTTGGTGCTGAAGCATGGATGCAAGAGCTGAGCTCTTGACCTCCATGCACGTCACTTTCGATTCGTTTCGACCAATCCTGCAGCCAAATAGGGTACACTTGCGTATGTTGTTCTATCAACCGTGGATGTGAATGCGTATAGCTGTGCTTTGCTGCAGGCACTTGTCCCTTGGCTCACTTGCACCAGCAGCCGGTTATGATCCGTGAATGGCGGGAGCTAGTACTGCAACTTGGCGGTGTGGTGCAGTGATGACGGCTTTGCAAGAGGGCATGCAATCGAGACAAGGTCAAGGATCATCCGAAAGTCCACCCAGGTGCAGATGACTCGTGTTTCGCCTTGCGTCATGGCATTTGAAATCACATGGTGTTGCAGTCAATTGGAGCCAGTTCGGGTCAGCAGGCCCCTTGAGAGGGTTACAATGGTTACACCAGTGTGGAACATGTGGAAAAGTTCTTTGTCCCATGTCTTCGGGCTTGAATTTCGAATAGATGTTGAGTCGGAATAACCTTAGAAGAGCCTCGATTGGAAAAGTCTCATAATACCCCACCTAATTCAGACCAGTCCCAGCTTATCAAAAATATTCAGGGCTCATTTTGTCACGCAAGCATCGAGGCATTCGAGGGCGAACATGTTTTGGCTCCGGTGAATGCTGGATGTGCCAGGAGCATTGAATGTGCACTGGAAGTGTGTACTGAGAGACTCGAACTCCGTGTCTCCAGAGCAATGGAAGGCCCAGTGGAGCTTGAGGAAGCCCCAGGCTTGCTAGACGAGGATCCAGGCTGGTGCGGAAGCCAGAAAAAGCAAAACATCCGGCGTGCCCTGCTGGCTTGGTATAGCCTCGAGCGTCGGCGTTTGCCTTGGAGAGGGGACCCACCTCCCTGGAGCGAGGACAAGGGCATGCTAAGATCCCAAGCTTCAAAAGCGGAACAGTGCAAACAGGGGAAGGCTTCCTCAAGCTCCATTACAAAGTTCTTTGGGCTGAAGGCTGCTCCGCGCGAAAAGACTGGCAAGATTGAGGTCATCGATCTGGAAGACCTTGAGCATCCTGTGCAAAGCTGTCCACAAAACGCTTACGCTGTTTGGGTCTCGGAAGTTATGCTGCAGCAGACGCAGGTTGAAGTCGTTATCGGCTACTGGACTCGGTGGATGGAACGTTTTCCAAGCCTACAAGCGCTGGCCGCAGCCACCGCAGATGAGGTAAACAACGCTTGGGCAGGGTTGGGTTTCTACGGCCGCGCCAGACGTTTGCATGAGGGTGCACGGTACGTGCTGGAGCAACATGGAGGCCGGCTATGGTTGTCATGTGAGATGTTGTTTGTGCTGTTAAACGATTTCATGAGCGCAGCCCAAGATGTGCTGAGGCGAAGTGCCGCAGAGCCGAGAAGAGTTGCTGCGCGTCCCCGGCATTGGCCCGTACACAGCAGGTGCTATTGCCTCGATAGCCTTCAACCAGCCGGCTGCAGTGGTAGATGGGAACGTTGTACGGGTCTTTGCTCGTCTCGCTGCTCTTAAAGGGCATTCCAAGTGTCCGGCCTTGCACAAGCGGTGTTGGAAGCTTGCAGAGGATCTTGTGGATCCTGAGAGGCCTGCGGATTTTAATCAAGCGCTTATGGAGCTGGGAGCAACGGTTTGCACACCTCTTGCCCCAGCATGCAGTCGATGCCCGCTGAGCGCAACCTGCAAAGCACTGAAGCTTGTGACAGCAGGCCAAGTGGGCTCTGTGACAGACTTCCCAGCGAAGCAGAGTCAGAAACCTCGTCGCCAACGCATCCTGGCTCTGGCAGCGGTCGCAGACGCTTCCGATTGCTGGATGCTAGTTCGACGACCGAAAACTGGTTTGCTTGCCGGGCAGCTTGACTTTCCATCAGTAGACGTCGCAGATTTGGAAGGCACTGATGATCGCAAGGCTGCGTCAGTTCTGCGCCTGCAGAAGCTGCTGGTTGAGCTCGGCTTTCGCCAAGAGGTGACCTTGACTCCTCTCAGTGCTCAGGTTGAGCACGTCTTCTCCCACGAGCATCATACCATGCAGGTCTTCCGAGGCTGCATCGCTGGCCATGGAGAACCGTCGGAACTTAAGCCCAACGTGTCTTGGCTCACGTTGCAACAGGCCGAAGAAGCTGGAATTACAAGCGGACTGCAAAAGGCCAGGCTTGCAAAAGAAGCGCTCCTAAGTCATCTGGATCTGGGATTAGTGGTTTTGCAATTCGTTGAGCTCCTGTTTGCTGCAAGTGCAGGTACTGCACGCACTACTGCCTACATTTCCCGCAAAGAGAGCAGCAAAGCGGCAGAAACACTGACGCAATCCTGCTTGCGCGGAATCCGTCAAGAACAAGAATCAGTCTAGCTGAATGTGCCTCATGGACTTGGATGAATCTTTGGCTGTGTGGGTGCGAGCTCCACAAGGACTTGGTTTACCTGGCGACGAAGTCCGAGGGTCTTGGATTTCCACGTGCTTGTATTCATTTTATTCGAAGTAGCTGCGCAACGCCGCGCTTTGTGCTACTAGCAGGGCAGTTGCGTGTCTTGGCTTGAGACTGCTTACACATCATCAATTGCGGGACAAATGATGACAATTACATGATTGACAACTAGCTCCGCGAAATGCGGGAAACTCTCCAGTGGTAAAACCTGAGTGCTGCATGTGCCTGACATCAAGGAAAGCCTAGAAAAGGGTCATGCTGGACGCACGAGATTCGATGAGATTGAACAAAAAGGACCGTGCTTAAAGCAACCTGCAAAGAGGTGCAAGAGGTCCTGGCGCAGCGGTCCCATGTGTTTGAGATCTACGAAGACTCGGAGGGACGTGCTGCAGTTCGATTTGCTGGTGAGAAAGGCTTCCGGAAGCGCATGCAATCTAGAGTCTGCTGTGGCATCGTAGTTGACAGGGGATGCTGGGAACCAAGAGTTGGAGCTGTTTCAAGGCGAGGTATGTCGGAATGCTTGGCTAGTGCGGAACCTCGAGACGCTCATGAGGCCCCGCGCTTCCTGCCGCACCACAGCCACTACCGCCTGGTCGTGTCTACCAGTGCCACAGCAGAATCAAGCGATGGAGGGGAGCTAGAGGAAGCTAAGATTTCCAGGTGTGCTTTGCCAGCATTGACGGCCGCGGAAGAGGTTCCCCCGCTGCGGCCAGATCAGGCTGGGGGCTGGGGGCTCTTGCATCAAGGGACACAGAGGTGCGCTTGAGCGTAGGTGGCGGAGATTGAAGAGGAGCTATTGAAGGTTGGAGGAAGCGAGCGCTTTCGGCGTCTCAGCCTCCATCTTGGCGTCCAGGAGCGCCAGGCGGGACAGTTAAGCAAGCCAAGCAAGCTCAACATGTCCCCTGTCAAGTTCTTGTGTTGCAAGGTGCAGGTCTACTTTAGACTGTACGAAGACCAGGGCAAGCTCTTCATCAGCCATCTGATCCCCGAGCGCGAGCGCTTGGAGTCCATGCTTTTCAACCTGCAACCTACAAGGCAGCCGCCTGACGTCTTTGTGACAGCATGCACTTGTTGAACGTGCCGTCCCCTCCAGGGCAGCAGTCGCCGAAGCCATGGCCTTCTGCATGCAGAATGCCGCCGTGCATGGTGCCATGCTGGCACAGGTCTTGGCCACTTGGTGGCAGATGTCAAATGTGGGAGAGGATGCAAGAAGCAACTGACATTGGTCCAGGTCGCCTCCCTTACGCTGCCGGGTGGGCTGTGCAGACTCTTGCACATGTGCGAAAATGTCTTTCACCTTGGGCAAATTGCCAGGCCTGGCATCAGCAATGGTGTTGGCACGTCTTTTCCTGATAAGTGATGCTGCCCGGCCTGCGTTGAGTAGTCTGGGTCAGGCTTTTGCTCTCGGCCCTGCATTCAGCATTGATTTGAGCATAGGTTCTCTTCAACTCCAAGTGCTCTGTGCCTCAGCTGCAAGACTTGTGATCAAATTTGGTGAAGCTTGTTGCATGGAAGGGCCTGCCAGGGAAGCTGGGAGTCAGAAGAGTGGGCTTGCAGACTGGCAACCAACATTGCCCTTAGCCGGAGATAGTTGGACCGCTTTGAGCTGTTCTATGCTAAGGCCAAAGGAGCTGCGAGATATCGGTCTCAGTTTGAGGAGCGATTGGGCTTTCATGATGCATTTAACATTCTGATCTTCAATGGATGGTTTTGCTTGCTGACATGTCCTCCGGAGAAGACATGAACCTGAGTCAGAACTGCCAGCGTTTTTCATGACAGCGTAGTCTTCAATGGAGAGGTTCCCAACTGCTGTGAAGTGTTGCAGGGATGCAAGCATGCAGCTCCGGACGACGAGAGCGGAGAATTTTAGGTACGTAATCAGGGGACTGCCAGCCAGGAACTGTTGCCAGACGCGTTTGAGAAGATGGGGCAGTGGTTACCGGGCCAGGACACGGCGGAGGCCGCTCACTGTTCGAATCCGCGCATGTTCGGAATCGCGAGCCGTAAGTTTCAAGGCGGCTGCGCGCAGCATGCTGGATGCTTGGAGGACTTGCTACTTGTAGAAATGCTTGTGCGCAAGCCTGACTTCGGGGCTTGATTTCAGGGAGCCGAATGAGACATCTCCCCATTTTTCCACCTGCTTGAAGACCTTGAGGAAGTGGGATGTTTTCCCGTCAGTTTTCCTGGACGGCTTGGAGTCGCTGCTTTTGTCTCCAGTCCCATCTTCCTTAGAGGCCTGCCTGGCCACGGAGGCCCAAGGGCAGGCATTTCTTTGCGGACCCGAATGCTTTGCCTCAAAAGAGGCGGAGGGCCTGCCGCTGCTGCGGCAGAAAATGGAGCAATGGGCATCAGCGGAGCATTGCTCACCCACCGAGGCCTCGAAAGTGTGGGACGCCCCAAGCGTTGCTTTCATGGTGGTGCCTGCTGCATGCAGAGGCACGGCAAGGGGCGCGCTGCCGTGGGTTGGCCGGCGCAAAGTTGCCAGTCGCGCGTTGCCGACTGCGCCTTTGCCACTGCGAACGGTACTGGCATGGGCGCGTGCAGGCAGACGTGATTGACTTTTTAGTTGAATGTTCAGACACGCGTTGATCCAAAAGCTTTCCAGGTGCAAGAAGAAGCCACCGAGGAGGCCCAGGGGGCTCACAAACCAGTCGTGAGCTGGCGACTAGCCTGGGAGGCGCCTCCGTCTGCAGAGTTGATGGATGTTGACGATGCGCGCAGCATCGATGGTGATCCAGCAGATGGCGAGGAGGTGCAGGGCTTGCGATCATGCCTTTTGAGTGACTAGGGCCTAGGGAGATGGTGATGATGGTGACGTCTGTGGCCAGGTGCCACCTGCGTTGTCCTGGCCAGTCCTTGGACTCACGGAGTGGCCTTTGGGCATTGGCATGGACCCAGGTGCTTGAGCTGCAACTAGTAACTAGGCCCGAGGTGGGTGCGACGATGTGATCCGGGACTGAGGTGCTCTGCCAGACATGTTTGAGCCCGTGACGAAAAAAACCAGGGCCGCAAAGTTGGAAAATGCCGCATGAGTTCAGCTATTGAGCAGCCAGACGCCCATCAAATGGCACTGCTGGTTTCCGGTTTCCTCGCAGAGTCTGATTGGGCTACAAATTGCAAATAGTAGCTTGGAGCTACGTACCAGGGTCGCCTACCAGTCCACCTGTTGAACAGGTACGTACTGAATTGTACACCGCCGCGGTCGGATGGTGGTGTTGCGAATGTCTACGAGAAGGAGATGCAGGGTTCGCTCTACTCTTGTCGCCATTTGTCGACTAACTGGCAAGATGACAACGTTGCGCCAGGATCCAAAATTCGAGTACTGCCGCGTCTCCCTGGGCGACAATGCCACAGAGACGTTGCAGTCTCGATTCGAGGCTTTCCTTTAGAGGTATCTGTGGCAAGCTGCAAGCAGGAACAAGAGGTGTGATTGCGAGCTGCAAGCCACAGCCAGATTAGGCTGATACTCGTACATTCAATGCATGAGACTTGTGGCCTCAGTCATATCTGGCACGTCTCCTTCTCCTTTCCTTCGCTCACACTGAACTTTCTTGAGGTTAGTTTTTTGGTCTTCATTTGGTTCCCAAGCATTCAGTAGCTAAAAACTTCTTTGTTTGGAAGCTTGGCACGTGTGTGAGGAGCAGCAAAGCTCCAACACATGCAAGTCTTGAAAGGCAAGCTGGGTCTTCTTGGAAAAGGCCCGCATTCGCGAGGACCCGGCCAGTTTCCTTTTTGAACAGCGTCTAAGGTTCCCAAGCAGTATTTATGAAGATGAGGACGGCGCTGTCCTGATTCACTGCCAACAGGGTGTCTCTCGCAGCGTGCATGGAACTCAGGACTTTCAGCAGCCGGATAGACGGTCTGTGCAGTGCCGTGCTTTTGCTGCAAAACCTCGTCACGTCTCGGAGCGTTTAACGTCGGAGAAGACAACATGGTTGGAAGTTTGGCCAAGACATGACATCCGAGCTTAGTAGCGAAGTCACGAGGAGCTCGTTGTGATGGGAATGATGTTGCAGGATGTTGCAAGGAGGAGGCCACAGCAAAGTAATGGAGAAACAACATCGTAAGTACGCGTTTCCAGCGCTGGTTTTAGTGGTGCTCAGTTTGGCAAGAATCTGTCGTTTACATTCAATTCATCCGTGCCTGCGTGTTTTGAATCTGCTATTGCTAGATTGGAAAATTGTGTTTGACAAAGTGGAAGGGCAGCGGTGCATAGCATTGAAACGCGTGGCGTACACCGACGTATGGAAGTCATGCGCGACTTATATGCAAGCCTGTATACGTGATATTATGAGAGACATTGCTTGTTGATGCAGGCCCCCCAGTCAAGTATTCGCGAAGGGTGTCAACTTAGTCTGTCTCTTTGTATTCTGGTCATAACCGCTCCCCTACACAACGTACATGCTCTTTTGCATGCATGCTCAGTCCCCATGCATACTTGGCCGACGAGCAACTTCATCTCCGACTCAGAGAATGCAGGCAGAGAAATTTCTAGCAACCGGCAACTAAAGCCACATTTTCATGGAAGACCGTCAAAGGAGGACCCCTGTTCCACTCAGAGTCCCTATACCCTGAGGTTCTTTGGCCTTTGGCAGAGGAGTAACCATCTAAGATGTTTGTTTCAGCGAGGTATCTCGGTAGTCAAGTCTCATAGGACGCCTGAAGCCAGAACTGGTAGCACTGCAAGGAAGGCGCAAACCAACGCATAATATGAAAGCTGCATCAATCATGGTGAGGCAAACTCAGCTGGGGAACCACGGCTTGTATGTTACTTCCCGCCATAGTCAGTGTTGTACTCTATGGCCTTGTTCTGTTTTTGCTTGGAATAAGACCGTATGCGTGGTTCCATGGCTTCTCAGGGAGATGTAGGGGCATTGAAGTATACAACCTGACCTCCTGTCGCAGCTTTTGAAGCTAACATTTCTGAATCTGCCCAAGTTCTGAGTGTAGCGCCGAAGGAAGCATTACACCGAATTACACCGTGTTGTTTTCTCATTGCGCTCTCCAGGCTGCAACGACAGGGCAAAGTTCACGAAAGATGCACACAGGAACACCTGCAGCAATAGCACCATGAAGTAGAGGCTTCTGAGGCTGTCAAACGTATTGAAGTCACATTGATATGATACCACCCACGGAGTGATGTTCCCCAGCCTAACTTGTCTTTTGGTGCGCCAGGGGTTTAGATCCTCTCAGGATATCTGGGTGGAAGGTTGCGTTCCAGACAAGTGGAAACATGCTTCAGTCGTCATGATTTATAAGGGTAAGGGATTGGACACGGATCCCGCTAATTATAGACCAATTTCATTGCTTAATACTATGTACAAGTTGTTTGCATCTATACTGCAGAGTCGCATATCATCTCAATTGGACGGGTCCTTGCGTAGGTCGCAGTACGGGTTTCGGCAGTCTCGGGGAACACGGCACGCACTCCACTTGCTGAGACGGGCAATGGAATTTTCGGACTTTACGGATAAACCACTCCACCTACCCTTTTTGGATTGGAAACAGGCGTTCGATTCCGTTGACCACAACGCATTGCTGATAGCCCTCCGTAGATTTGGCATCTCCGAAGACCTATTGGCTATCATCCACTCCATATACGATGCACCCACTTTCGAGGTTAAAGGCCTTAACGGGGTATTAGCACAGGGGGAGGTACGAGCGGGTATCAGGCAAGGCTGCCCGCTAAGTCCATATCTTTTCATTATGGTCTTAACTGTTCTTCTGGAAGACGTGGATCAAGCACTACTTAGGGATGGGGTTCCCACCAATACTTGGTCGGTAAATAGGCCTATTTTTGACGTTGAGTACGCAGACGACACCCTGCTCCTGGGAGTGACCATACCGCAGTTGCAGTCCATACTGCATCAAGTAGAAACGGAAGCCGCGCTCTACGGGATGACTCTGAACGCCGACAAGACGGAGTTACTGTATCATCCAGACCACACCGCTCCGACTATGTATTTCTTGAATGGTTCCAAAGTCCCTACCAGTACTCAGGTCAAATATTTGGGTTCCATGGTCTCCTGGAAAAATTCTTTTTGGTACCACCTTTAAGCACCGCAGCGCGTTAGCGGAACAGGCCTATAAGAAATTGAGACTAGTTTGGAATAGTTCCCTTCCAGTAAAAACCAAGCTCCGTATCTTTCAAGCTACATTCCCCGCAGTTCTTACCTACGGCCTAGACGCATTCACCCTCACTGACAAGAGTCTGCAACGTATTGACGGCTTTTACTTCAGGTTCCTTCGCAGAATTATAGGAATCAAAGCCTCTTATTACTCTAGGATCAGTAACAGTACTGTCTACCACAACGCAGGTAAGCCCAAACTCCCTTCTGAAAGCATTGTTCAACTACAACATAAAATGCTCTCTGAAGTTTTCCTCGCCGGCATGCAAGAGCCTATACATAGCGTAGTCTTCTGTAGCGGATACAAGGACCGCATCAAATCCATTGGCAGGCGCAGAGGAAGAGGTAGGTATTGGTTAGAAAAATGTTGTCATAGATTCTATCCGGAAGAGTTCCTAGACCACACCGCCTCAAACAAAAACTGGCGGTACGTGATGATCAAAAAGAAGCTCAGTGATTCCTCTCAAGGGCAGGCGCCAAAGCGCGCACAAGCAGCGTTGCGCGCACGGCATTAGCAAAAAGGGGTTTAGATCCCCGCACATTGACACGGCACAGCCGGAGTTGAATGCTTACCTAAGGACCTTGTATAGCTCGTGCTTTCTGACACGCCAGCAAGGTCCATGGCGATGTCCTACATGATGAAGTACTACAGGATCTGGGCACTTCACCTTCTGCAAGTTTGCTGGATAGGGTCTTGTCCTTGTGTCACACTTTGGTATCATCTCCTGCATTGATTGCTTGCTATGACTTCTGGACGTTGGCTCCAAGCTTGTGCGAAATCTCAATGTGCAGTTCTGCATGTGAATACATCTGCCCTTCCAAGTCTCAGGCCTGTGTGAGGCTCCCCAGCGAACGCACTAACCGGTACTGGAAAGGGCTGACTGAGCACCTCTTGACACTTCCGTACATACATTTCTGAAGTCCACATACTATACTGTGGAGTCACATCTTGAGCCAAATGGCAAAGTGTGTCCACGGCTCAGAATCATGCTTGACTGCGGAAGACTCCCGTCTAATCGGAGCATCTTCGATAACTTGTGCTGTAAGGTCAAACATTTCTGTTTCCGACTTTCTGGAAGAAGAGTGCCTGAAGGCCAGAAGTGTTGCGATACTGGAAGATGTGAAAGTGCCAAGTCCGTGAACAATGAGTTTGTGGTGTTTCGGTGCTTCATTTTCAGCAGGTGAGACACCCTTGTGCGCTGCTGAGCCAGTGTCCAATGCCGAGGACCAACAGACATCCCACTTCCTGAGCATTTCATGGGACTACTTTGAAAGGCTACCCGGGCGGCCAGCCGAGCTTTGCGCCAGGCAGCATAATTTGAAGGCAGCCCAGAGCGAACCGAAGAGCATCTACAGTGCCGTGCTCCAGGTTCGAAGTCTGCAGAGGCAGTATCAGCAGCTCCTGTGTCCTGGACACGTTTGTCAGCTTGTCCAACTTGCTCGTGTGGCAGTCAGAAGCTAAGTAACGCAGACATTTTGCCGCAGCGGCGGCGGCGGCGGCGGCGGCAGCAGCAGCAGCAGCAGCAGCAGCAATGGTGGCGGCGGCGGTGGCGGTGGCGGCGGGAACAGCAGTGTTTTGTGGTTGAGATAGAAGAAGATTTGGCGTGCCAGGCCCACGCTTCGAACTGCCCTGGCCTCTTCCTGCGTGTCTGAGGCCGTCTGAAGGGAGGGCAAAAGCAGGGGCATGGTTTGGACTTGAGAAACTCTTCCATGTCTGATACCAAAGGCGCGGTTGCTGCACGTGCGAACGGGCCTGGTGGACTTGGAGGATCTATTGGAGGCACATGTCAAGCCCAAAGTTGATGGACTTCCTGTACGAGGATCTAGGTCTAGGTTTGGAGTTTCAACATGTGCCTTTTTTTTTTCTTTCGCAGGGATCTGTGGCTGCCAACTCTGCTGACGGCCGCGCCGTTTGCGAGGTGCAACTTCGTTGTAGCTGCAGAGTATAACATGTAGCTCCTGAGCCGTAGAGTGCGGTTTTGAGAACACGCTCGCAGTAGTAATTCAAAGGGAGGGGCTCCAGCAGAAAGGTGCCGGGGAGGGGGGAAGGCAGGGGCTGGGGAGGGAGGAAAATTGAGGTGGGGAGAAAGCGGAACAGGAGCCTTCAGGAGGTTTCAGAGAAGTTTCCTGGAGAAGGCATGTGCAGAAAAGAATTTCCGCAGAAACGGCAGTGGGGAGAGCGCACTCGAGAAGTAAAAGTTGAAGTGCCGCTGCCAGACGAAAGAAAGGAGGCTGCTGGAAGGCCCATGTGCAGCACTTAGGAGGGGTGGCGGGGGATCCTGGCAGGAAGAACAGTCCGCATATTGCAATCTCCTTTGGAAGGAAGGTAAGGATGCAGACAAAAGTGAGATGAAGGGGTAATGCAGGTGGGAAGGTGGGAGGCCTGGTTGGCTACACGAAAAACGTATGTTGTCTTCCACGAGCCCGCCGGAAGGAGGCGTGGGTAGAGATTTTTCCCTTAACTCCTATCGCCTGAGGCAGCTTGTCTCATTGATCCAGATGTTGCCAGGTCGTTACCTGCATTGCAGCTGAAGGTGGAGGAGCATGGCGACCACGGCGGATGCTACTGAGCGCTGCTTGCTGTGTTATTCCAGTTATTTCATGCTTCTTGTATTTGGCATGTCACGGCTGTGGCGTAGTTTGGCCTTCAGCAGATGCAGTCTGCACCGGTGAAATCACAGCCTCTTTGAGATTGACTGAGGATGCTGGCTTTTCCTTGCAAAGTCACGCAACCAGTCAGGGCTTCTTCGCCCCCCGCTCAGTCATCTGATCGCCCGATGAGCATGCTGTGTGTGCCAGTGTTGTTCTTCATGATGCTGCTATGCTGGTGGAGTGCGCTCTGGCGGCAGGGGTCGTCTGAGAGGGCCACGGAGCTCATGCCCTGGAGCGATGTGCAACGCCAGCGGCCCAAATCAGCGCCAGCTTGCAGCCAGCTTCGCCGTCGTCTCCGCTGTACACCCAGGAGTGTCCGTTTCTGACCCCAATGCCACGCCCAGCCAGAGCTCCAAGCCGTCAGGGCCTTGCTGAATGATGCTGAAGCATGCTTGGATGCCTTTGCCGAATGCTCCCGTGCTCAGGACTCGACAGAGCAACAACCTTTTTGAGGTGGCAACGCTTTGAGATGTTGAATTCATGGGGCTTTGCTGTTGTGCAGGCAGAGCTCCAGCTTTCCAAGCCACCAGGCCGCCTGAGACTGCAGCCGCCTGGCCGCATTTCAGAGTTGCTGCTGGAGCTCGAGCTCTTGCAAACATGAGCTACTTTGCTTTTCGGAGCTAAACATTTGCCTCACAGTTCAGATGGTGTTCCTGACGAGGTTTGGTGCTGCGGGGTACGGCACTTACAGCATGAATTGTCATGCGAGTGCTCACATACTGCACAAGCCTCGACGCTTTTTCTGACTTTCCACGATCGGCTTTCAGCCGGCAAAGGCCAGCGCAGGTCCTTCAGCAGCTATGGCAACAATCATCGCAAGGTCGCGAGTTCGTGAGCTTTTGCAACGGCATCAGTTTTGACGCCTGCGCTTTCAGGCGTTTCACCACCGCTACCGGGAATGGACGTCCTGCTGGAAGAGCTGGGCATCACTAAAGGCAGGAGTCGTGCTGTATTCCGCTGCGCAAGCTACAAACATCGAGCACAGCATGTCTAGCTGGCACCACGGTCACCATAATGCCGCAAGGCACCAACGGGCAACAGCCAACGCTTTGCTCGGACTCTGACCACGGATCATATGGTGTCCACCGTGCGAGACGATTTAAACTTCAAAGCCACAAGGTATATCAAACGGAAGCGGAAAACCAAATGCAAACATGCTGCGTAGGCCTTGTGTGCCCTTTGCCCTCGAAAAAGCATGGCGTTGGTTGAATGATGACGCCACGTTTGCATCCTGGTGGGAAAGGTATGAAGTGCTGACAGGGCACTTGTGGTTCAAATCATGTCATAAATTGTACAGTTTTGGCAAGGTCGCGAGACAGAACATGACATGCTGGTGCATGGGCTTGTGCGAGTGGTTCATGCAAAGGTGACAAGCCAATTGTCACCGCCTAAACCTGTGAAGACACACGCAATGAAATTCCCAGCAAGACGATGGAGCGGATGTCACCGACCAGGCAAGTGCCAAACACCTAAATCCAGCCAGCGTCCTGACGCACCACGTGTGATGGATGTGGCATCAGAACGCCAAAAGCTGAAGACCCTTGGCGCACAGCGCCAGGAGGCTCTCCCCTCCTGCAGCCATACTTTACTAGCCTCCGGCAAGGGATGATGGCAGGTGCGGCAGGCGTAGTGATGAGTGGTGACAAGTGTGTTGGCAGGCATATGTGCTCTCAGCAGTTCGACGATCGCATGCTTCAGCGAACTCTCAACTCAACTGAGCGGCAAAGTAAACTGGCAGATCTGGCAGCGAATCAGAGCGTAACAGCCACACTGCGAATTGCCACCACAACATTCAGCTTGCCATGATTTGACAGCATTCCAAAAAAGACAACAACGAGACTGCAAGCTGCCTTGCTCATTTTACCCCCTGGAGGTTCACCACCTTGCCCGACTCGATCACTGTATGCGGCTTCCCTTCCAGATGGAGCAACCATTGAAAAGGCTCTCTTGCTGTCTGAGGAAACTGGCCCATGCATTTGCGAGTGGGATTCAGGTGCGGCAGATGTTCAGCACCAATGGTCCCAGCAACCCAATTCTCAGGCCGTGTTGGTTCTGTGTGTGTTCTGTGTGTGCCGAGATCGCTGCTACAGTTCAGACCCAGCATGTGTCAGCAGGCTCCATGCAAAGATGGGCGCCCAGAACATGGCAACTCCAGCATGTGAAGTGATGTGTCACAATGTAGAAGTATAGTTGCCTTGCAGGAGATATATCGCACATGTGTTAAGTACAGCGTTGCATTTTCTGACGCAGCTTGTGAAAGCTATGCCACATCAGCTAACTTGCTCGGCTGGCTGCGCATTGGCGCAGTCGTTCCTTTTGTGCTGGCCTGACGCCTTGTTCGAAATCAGAGATTGGTCAAGGTCTTCAGGATTTTGATTGCAGTCTTGACAGGTGGAGCGAGACTGGGAACCTCTGGCTGGTGGGCTTGTCAAGTGCTTGCATTTCGTGCAGCCTTTGAAGTCGGAAACTTGGCGCTTTGTACCTTGCAGATTGGAACTAGTTCGCATGCTTTCTGCGAAGCGGCTGAGGCCCCAACCCATGGCACCAGAGAAGACTCGGGTGCCTGGTGCTTACGGGGGACTTCCCCGTTCAGAGCTCTTGGCAAGGTGGATGTTCGGCTGCTCGTATTGCCTCCCTGAGGTCCTTGGTCTACTTCCTTTGTCCTACACAGGGTTCACAGGCGGGGGGAGGGGGAGGGGAGGGGGAAGAGTGGGAGGGCGTGGACTTCCCTCAAACCCAAAACCATCAACAAAAGCAATAAGTGTAGTGCTTGGTTAGCAGGCCCGGTCCGTGAAAAGAAACAACAGGCCTCCGGCCTCAGCAGATTGATTGCTTTGAAATCCGTATGCACCTCCTAAAAGCACAGCTCCATGATGCTCCATGTGCACTCCAACGGAATCCTGATTTTTAAGTTGCCGCTTTTGCCACAGCTGCACAGTAAAACCAGGTCTCAGCAGAGGACCAGACAAGAAGCATTTCAGGCGTCTGCTCTTCGGCTTGGGCTTGCAAACCCCTCCAAGTTTTCTTCCGTCGAGCTTGCAAGGAATCCCATGAACTGAAACCTGCTAGAATGAGGTCAGGTCCATGTTGCTGTCTGTGTGAAGACGGGTACTGAGAGGGGCAAGTGATAACGTTAGCATGTGCCAGCCCCAGCCCAAGTTTTGGCAAAGCAAGAATTAGCAAAACCGCCGCTGTTGCTGGTTCAGCCCATCCCGGTAAGAAAAACAGTGCGTCTCGGAGGTGGTCCTGCAGAAGGTGACCAGGGCTCTGGCACGCATCAAAGCGTCCAATCTGTTGCGAGATGTGATGCTTTGCTGAGTGACGATAAGGACATTCCATATGCGAACTCGTTCCGCGTACACCATGAGCATATCTTTTCGGAGGCCTCCTTCAAGCCATGCTTGGTGATTGTCATGTGAATTGCACCGGTCCTTTCTCAATTGCCTGCCGCGATCAGCTATCAGCTTCGGCAGGCGACTGCTGAGACGAAGCCGCAGGCGCAATTCACAACCTGCGTGCCTGCTTACATCATGATCGTGAACCATGATGCATGATGACTTCGAGTCGAGGTCTGTGTTTGCTGTGGGTTGATGGTTGTTTGAAGTGCTCTTTGCCCGTCCAAGAGATTGGCCGGGCGGTTGCGCAGCTACGCACCGTGTAGCAGACTGGTTATCGTAAACCCTGAGCATACTATGCTTTACTCCTATGCTTTTAGAAGCACCTCCTCCGTCACGTCCGAAGACGCTCTCTTCGCAAACACTTCCATGAACTTATTTTCGAATCAATTCCACCGCTTGGTAGAGAGTTCTCCTTCTCGGCCCCTCTTCTTTTATCTCCATCTTCTGAGACTCATCTTGGAGCTCTTTGGTGCCCTGCGAAAGGTTACAGTCGACCTCGCGCTCGGCATCAATTGGGTTGACAGGCAAGCACCGGCTCAACATCTATTCTTCAACTTCATACCACCTGCGCTGCGTGGAGGTGTTTTGTCAAGCAGATCATCGAGAGCAGCACTCGGAGAGAGACCTTAGAAAGCATGCAGGCTCGGTGAGATTTTCGCACCTGCCTTGGTGGCGATGTGTCCTTCCAAGCGTGCCAAGTTGTTCTCCTTTGCTGTTGATTTGCAGGACTTCATGGAGTGCATGAACGAGACGCTGCTTGTGTAGAGCGGCACGAGCCGGTGAAAGCCATGCAGTAGTTAATGGAGGTCTTGCGGCAATAACGCTTGCAGGGCATGACTCATTTCAGCGCGATGAAAACCGAGCATTGGTATCTGCAGGAATCTGGGATCCAAGCTATGCTGGTGCCTTGATTGCAGGAAAACCTTCGCCGAGGCCATGGCCATTGCGAAGGAGGCGCGCTCCCAGGCACGGTGACACTGCACCACTGTCACAGCATTTGTCAGCATCTGAACCTGAAACATACCTTCTCAGAAATGCAGGCGTGCCCAAACGAAGGCTTCACCACGCAGTTGCGGGCGCTCGATGAGGAGCTTAGGCCAGAAGTGAGATTTTCCGTGGGACCTGGCTCGTTCATGGCTTCTCAGGAATAACCCCAAGCTCTACGAGCCAATTCCGCCAAAGCGGCGAAAAGTTTACAGTAGCCTGGTTGCATTCGGGAAATGCTGCCTGTTTCACAAACGTGTGCTGAAAGTGTGGTAAGTCAAGACAGTAGAAGCTAAGATAACTAAGGTAGCCAAACAAAGCCTGCTTCCGAGCTCCAGTTTTTGCGTGGTGCTCCTGCACGCTTTCTCTTGGCACTTTAACAGCAAGGCCTGGTGTCGGTGTGGGCCTGTCCCTGAGATCAAATATTCAGAGTGGTCAGCCTTTACAATCGAATTCTTCCAGGTCCAGCCCGAGGTCCTGCAGGCCCGGCCAGAGCCTTGGTTCACAGCATGTCACAGCCTGTAACCAGAAGGAAAAAGGACTAGGTGTATCCAGGCGGCATGACTTCACCCCTGAAATTTGCTCAGGCTGGTCCAAGCCCACGAGGCTGGATACTGGTTTCTAGGCTTGTTCCACAATCCTTCCGGTGCGGCTGACGAATAGCAGGTCCTGCTGGCCCAAGCGTTGGACCAAGCGCTTGAGCCTCAGGCACATTTGCAGGAAGGCCTGCTCAGATACTTGAAATTCGAAGGTGGGACCCAAAGGGCCGGTTGGCCCTGCTGGGCCGCCTCGAGGCTTTGCTTGACAGTGGAAGTCTGTGGCGGTCGGTTCTTGGGCTTGCCAGGCCCTGCGGGTCCTGTGGGGCCGGCACCAGGGCCCAGTGCAGGCCCAGCGACTGAGAAGCGGAAGGCCCAACACATGTCTTGTGCGGAGAATCTGCACCAGTTCCTTTGTGGAACTTCGCGTCCATGAGCCACTTGAGAAATTAATATGTTGTGCACCGGCGTGTTGTGAGGCTGAAAAGATGGGTCCTTCAAAGCCGAAACCTGAGTGAAGTGCAGCTGACTTTGCTTTTTCCTGCGCTGGGTCCTCAACCAGCCGAGGGCTGGCCCAGCTGGGCCGTCGAAACCAAAGAAGGCAAAGCCGTGAGCTGACGGGGAGCTGTCGCCGCGGACCTCGACTGATGGCGCTTCTCTGGGGAAAAAAAAGATACACGCCCGGATGGGTTGCTAGCAAGTTTTAACATTCTGCTTCGCACAAAAACTTAAGGCTCGGAGCTTCAAGCATAGGAGGCAGCTACGGTAGTCAGGTTTGCATCTGAGCAGGCCTACGTCTTGTGTAGAACAGTCGGAAGTCGGGCCGCGATAACTGGAATGGGATCGAGGATGACCGGAAGGGTGTGATGCCAGGATGGAAAATAAAACAATCCAATACGTATAAAAACCGACCAAATGATGATCAGCAAGATATCATGCCAATCTTACGCGCTCTTGTCGTTGTTATTGCCTCTTTTTTTCTTTCAAATGTGGGCTTCGTCCCGCCCTGGTCCCCGGTTTTTCTTCTTGAAGAGGGGTGCCACGGCAAGCGTGTAGATTTTGTTGCGGGAAATCAGGCCTCAAGAACCTATGTGGCGGGCCGTCTCGAAATGGCCCTTCCCTTGCGCGAAAGAATATCCTGGCACATGCTGTCCACAGGCGGTTCCCAATTCTTTTCCATTGAAAAGTACAGCTGTTGAGTTTCAACTTGACATGTGCTTCCAACGCTTGTTTTGCAGAGCCAGAGGTATTACCACGACAGGAAGAATTTTACAGTGACAGGTTCTAATTTTACAACGATTTCTGAGCCTCTTTTCCACAATAGATCACAATAGGGCTTGGGAGCCGTATATTTGGTGCTATTCGCCTGGAAGCACACCGAAAACATGGCTCCCACCTAATAGGACCATAAATACGGCTCCCGCGGGAGCCGTGTTTTTGGTCCATTTAAGGCCTAATAGGACCAAAAATGCGGCTCCCGCGGGAGCCGTCTTTTTGGTCCATCTAAGGCCTAATAGGACCAGAAATGCGGCTTTCGCGGGAGCCGTTTTTTGGCCATTTAAGGCTTAATAGGACCAAAAATACGGCTCCCGCCAATCTTTAGTCGCGCCCTAAAAGCACCAGAAACCAGGCCCCAGAGCGACGGTTTTTTGGTGTCCAGAAGCAACACTTGGTCTATTATGTGGGGATTGCATATGTGAAGAAGGTTGCTATGTAATACTTGGGCTATATTATGTCGGGTTGCATTTGTTAGGAAGGTAGTTATGTAATATTGTAACACTTGGGCTGCGTATGTGAGGAAATAGTTATGAAATACTTGGGCTATATTATGTGGGGATTGCACATGTGAAGAAGGTAGTTATGTAATATTTGGGCTATACTATGTGGCATTGCATATGTGAGGAAGGTAGTTATGTAATACTTGGGCTATGTTATGTGGAGTTGCGGATGTTAGGCAGGTTGTGGCTCCAGCGGGAGCCGCATTTTTGGTCCTACTAGGCCTTAAATGGACCAAAAAGACGGCTCCCGCGGGAGCTGTATTTATGGTCCTATTAGGCCTTAAATGGACCAAAAAGACGGCTCCCACAGGAGCCGTATTTTTGGTCGTATTAGGCCGTAAATGGGCCAAAAATACTGCTCCCTAGGCCTGATAGCACTGAAAACATGGCTTCGCGCATGAAACTGCACCCCTCAGCCCTTATCATGCTTAGAATTGCGAAACCAATCATGGTAAAATGGTTTTGTGTTGTGGTAAACAGAGTGCCTTTCTAATCGTGGTTATACCCCCTCCTCTTGTTTTGCAAGCCAGGGTGCTGCGTGACCGCGTGTGATCGTTACGCCCCAAGTTCAAGCCTTTTTTTACGCCATCATCACTCCAGTGACATGTTACGCAGCTGGGCACAAAGTTTTATACCCGGCTGAACTGCACATAATTCCGGCCAGTAGTTAGCCCGGGTGCTGACATGACATGGGATGCTCTTTGGCATTGTGCTGAATGCATGCGTTGACCGTGTATGCCCGTCATATGGCTGTGCCAATTGGCCACGCAATCTTTGCAGCACCACTCCTAAAACAACCGTCCGGCCGTCAGTAGCTACATGAGACAGTGAAACAACGGGGCATATGATCCGCCCACAATGTAGATATGCACAACTTGCAGCGCGTGACGCGCAACCGTGGGGCTCGAGGCCCTCAAGCGGGGATCCTTGGGCTTCCCAAATGCTGGCCGCAGAGGTCATGCGCTTGACACATGCGCATGCGTAGTAGAAGCACGTATTTGGCATACCTTGAGGGGTGAACAACGTCCCATAAGCAATCGACGTTGGCAAAGTGTGGCGAAGCCAAAAGATTGCAGGCGGTGTGGCCACACAGTTCTCCAGTGGAGAAACAAGGGGAAGACCCGCGGTGCGTGGACAAGCGTCCAATCACGTGACCACCAAACCTCGGTGCAGGGCAGCCATCGGTGGCTGCCACAGCCGCCGTTCGGCTCCGCTTTTTAATATCAGTGCAATTGGGGGTTACACCATGCGCCGCCTGGGGAGCCGCTGTTTGGTTCCGTTTTTTCGCGCTGTCCTGCCCAGTTGGTGTGGTGCGGCACTTTCAAGGCCCAGCGCAGCTACAGGCCGCAAGTTGGGCTCATGTCACACCGCTCGCACCGCAGGGTGCCCAGAGGCGCGGCGGCGTGACGCGCCCGTCTGAAGCTGCGCCGCCCCGCCGCCAGGTGCGGCAACCCCCATGGTTATTGACGCGACCAAGCTGGCTGTGCCCACTCTGTGCAAAATCTGCAAACCTTGACGATCTCGTGCTGCCGCACTGCACCGCAAACCCGTGCCACCGTTGCGGTCATGTCATCAGCTGGGTCCTCGACCGGCTAACCCACAGCAGCCACACGCACTGCACACTCCACAGACGGCTGCCTCGCGGGCCGAGTGCGCCGCGGAGCTTGCGACGGCTGATGCCACCTCAGTAGCAGCTAAGCCGACGCCATGCCTACTGCGCCGCACTTTGCATTTGGCAGCATGGGCTGTGGCTTCGGAGTGCCTTCCCGACCCGGGGACGCTTGGCCTCGTTCCATGTGCCTTCAGTGACGTCTGAAGTTGCCCCGGCCGTCGACAGGACCGGCGGCATTGCAGCACGTGCAGCGGCGCCTGAGCGGTGGGGTGGCAACTTGGCACGGGCCAAAAAAATTACGCGCTGAACCGTCACATCGGCCCGGCAGCGGAACGCGCTAGCATCCGAGCCCCTGCAGCATGCCTGCATCCGCACACGCTGTGGCCGGTCCACTGCCGCCGGCAGTGCCCTCTACATCACTCTGCAACTGCAGCAGTGTGCTTTCCACATGGAAGAAGCACGCCTCCACATTTTGTGGATTCCTCCACCAGCCGTGCGCGCAGCCACCGGCTCATTGGATGCAGTCGCTGTCCAACTCAGCCGATTATCCGCAACCTGGCCCCTGGGCAGCCTCCGTTTGCTTGCGCTTTCTTTTCTTGTCCAACTTATTGTCTAGTCTGCTTTCTGTGTCCGACCCCCACATCACGTCGGCAAAGCAAGGTTCGACGCAAGGCGCAGGTGCCGAGAGAAGGGCTAACGAATTCCAATGCCTTTTTTTCCACCTGGTTTTTTTTCCGCCCGCACCATGGCCTGGCTCAGGCAGGTCATGGAACCGAGCCTGGAAGACACCTTCAACCGCGCGATGCCAAAGGGGCAAGCCAGGCGCCGCTGCGGGAATAATGGCGCCAGTAGCTA